TAAAGGCCATCTATGACAAGCCAACAGCCAGTATCATTCTCAATGGTGAAAAGCTGAAAGCAATTCCATTAAGATCTGGAACAAGACAAGGATGTCCACTCTCACCATTGCTTTTCAATATAATACTGGAAGTCCTAGCCAGGGCAATAAGACAAGAGAAAGACATCCAAGGAATCCAAATAGGAAAAGAAGAAGTCAAACTATCACTATTTGCAGACGATATGATATTATACATAGAGAACCCCAAAAACTCCACAGAAAAGCTAATTCAACTCATCAATCAGTTCAGTAAAGTGGCAGGATACAAAATCAACACGCAAAAGTCAGTAGCCTTCCTATACACAAACAATAAATCTGAAGAAGAAGAAATCGAAAAGACCATCCCTTTTGTTATTGAAACAAAAAAAATCAAATATTTGGGAATAAATCTAACAAAAGAGGTAAAGGACCTATACAAAGAAAACTATAAAACACTGTTAAAAGAAATAGAAGAAGACACAAAGAAATGGAGAGACATCCCCTGCTCATGGATTGGAAGAATAAACATTATTAAAATGGCCATCCTTCCAAAAGCAATATACAGATTCAATGCTATTCCAATCAAAATTTCAATGTCATTCTTCAAAGAAATAGAAAAATTATTGATGAAATTCATATGGAATCACAAAAAACCCCGAATAGCCAAAGCTCTCCTGAAAAAAAAAGAAGGGAATGGAGGCATCAGACTCCCAGACTTCAAACTATACTACAAAGCCATAATCATCAAAACTGCATGGTATTGGAACAAGAACAGACATACAGACCAATGGAATCGAATAGAAAATCCAGAAATAAACCCACAGATTTATGGTCAACTAATCTTTGACAAAGGAGCAAAGACTATGCATTGGAGCAAAGAAAGTTTGTTCAATAAATGGTGCTGGGAAAACTGGGTCGCTACATGCAAAAGAATGAAGCTTGACCACCACCTCACACCATACACAAAAATCAACTCAAAATGGATTAAAGAACTAGACATAAGACCTGAAACCATAAAATATATAGAAGGAAATATAGGCGAAACACTACGTGATTTGCACATCAAAGACATCTTTACAGACACATCACCCAAAGCAGTGATAGTGAAGGCAAAGATAAACAGCTGGGACTATATCAAATTAAAGAGCTTTTGCACAGCAAAAGAGACAATAACAAAAACAAAGAGAAACCCCACCAACTGGAGAACATTTTTGCACCCAACACTAATGATAAAGGACTGATCACAAAAATCTGCAAAGAGCTGATGAGACTCAACAACAACAAAGAAAATAATCCAGTCAAAAATGGGCAGAAGAGCTTAAAAGAAACTTCTCTGAAGAGGAAATGCAAATGGCCAACAGGCATATGAAAAAATGTTCAACATCACTTGTCATCAGGGAAATGCAAATCAAAACTACCATGAGATACCATCTTACACCAGTGAGAATGGCACATATTAAAAAAACTAGCAACAACAAATGTTGGCGAGGGTGTGGAGAAAAAGGAACTCTTCTGCACTGTTGGTGGGAGTGCAAACTGGTCCAACCACTGTGGAAAGCTGTGTGGAGATTTCTGGACCTACTAAACATAGAGCTTCCATATGACCCAGCAATTCCACTCCTAGGTATTTACCCAAAGGACACAGAAACATCAATTCCAAAGAACACCTGCACCCCTATGTTTATAGCAGCACTGTTTACAATAGCTAAGCTTTGGAAACAACCCAAATGCCCAAAAATAGATGACTGGATCAAGAAGATGTGGTACATATATACCATGGAATATTACTCAGCATTCAAAAAAGATAAACACATGCAATTTGCTGCAACATGGATGGCGCTGGAAGGGATCATGCTCAGCGAAATAAGCCAAAAAGAAAAAGAAAAATACCGGATGGTCTCACTCATAGCAGGAATCTAGAAAACTTAAATAAGGGACCAGGAAAATGAAAAACTATAAGAAAGTGAAAATCAAAATCAACAAAAAACTATGAACCAGAGACACTTTTAGGGGGGCGGGGGCGGGAGGGGAGGGATTGGGGTCAGAATGGGGGGCGGCAATTGTATGGGGAATATAACAATAAAATTTATAAAAAAAAAAAAAAAAAAAAAAAAAAAAGATGTGCCCGCCTGACCCAGACTTCCCTGAGGGATATTGCAGCCAAGAATTGGCACCTGCAAAATAGAGGGGGAATGCATAGGGCGTCTCTCACTAAGACACTTACTTGGGAGCACACGCCGTGAGGTGCACACTTAGAACTAAGGGAGACTTGATTGAGATCCACTCTGGCCTGTCACTCTCTTGCTGTGACATTGGGCAGAGCACATGCGCTGAGTCTTAGTTTTCCCTTTTCCTAAATGAGGTCAATAAAAAATAATTGCTTTCCATTAAAGTTGTTAGAAGGACTAAAATAAATGATTCATGTAAAGCTTTCAGCACAGTGCCTTGCCTGTACTAAGTGTGCATTAGCTTAAGAGTTATATTTTAAAAAAAATTGTTTTAATATTTTGAGAACCCGCCATACTGTTTTCCATAAAGACTGGGTCAGTGTACATTCCCACCAACAGTGGACAAGGGGTCCTTTTTCTCCACACCTTCACCAGCACCTGTTGCTTTTAATTTTCTTGATATGGGTCACATGACCCGGGAATGCCACTCCTAGGTATCTACCTGAAATATGCTAATGCAAAGGAGTATATGCACACCTATGTTCACTGCAGCACTATTTACAATAGGCAAGTTACAGACAGAACCCAAGTGCCCAAGGACAGAGGAGTGGATTAAGAAGCTGTGGTATATTCACAGTTGAATGCTATTCAGCTATTGTTTCAAAAAATGAAATCTTGCCACCTTCAACATGTATAGACCTGGAAGGGATGCTGCAAAGCAAAATAAGTCAGGAGAAAGATAAAAACTGGATAGTGTCACTCATACATGGAATACATAGAAACAAAATAAAGGAACAAAGAAAACTAAACAAGACAAATCCCAGAAATCTGATTGCAGAATTGAGGCCATAGAATGGGGAGAGAGGTGTAGAGAAAAGTGGGAGGAGATTTCATGGACTACGGCTGAAGACTATGGGTGCTTTGGGATGGGTGTGGGGTGGTAATTTAATCTGAAGAATTGTGAATCTATAACCCTAAATCATACACAGTGTTGTAAACCAATGTAAACTCAATTCAAAAAAACGAAAAAGATAGCTTTTCTTTTTCAAGTATTAGTGAGCGCTCCACTTCTGCAGGTGTCCAGATCCAATCTGGGCACAGACATGAAATGAAGGGGCTCACAAATCAGGTGGGGGTCCCGCACCTGCCCATGCTCAGTGGAGCTGGTGAATAACACTACTCGGTGTCACAGACCCTTGCTTAGCACCTGCCCACTTTCCGCACGCGCCAAGTTGCTGTGCAAATGCGTGAGGTGCATGAAAGCCTGTCCCGAGTGGACACTCGTGAGCAGTTTTACTCACAGTGGAGAAAGCAGGCTGGAAAGTCCAGACCCATCTGCAGCCAGACACAGCTAAGAAGTCACAGACTGGGCACTTGGGGGGTCAAAAGCTGAGCACGTTCTGCATAACAGATGCCTCCCCCACCTGCGACAGTAGGCCACTGTCAGAGAAGTTTGAAAATGACCCCCCAAGATGCTCTCTGTGGACGTGATTGACCCCTCTCTGCAGTTTTTAAATGATTTGTGCAAAAATACAAAGGTTCATGTGTGAACCCCAATCCTTTGACCACCATTGTCATTTGTTTCGTCTTTTCCTAAAGACATCCATGTCCACCCAGCTCATCTCTAAAAGTTTGTCGCATGTCCCTAAAGTGAGTTTCTAGGCTCAGAAGGTGCCGTGTACTTAATGCCCATGCACCGTTTTCTCACACACAGCTCTCTGCGCGCCCGGCAAGGAGCCACGCCCCACAGTGTGGGCACTTGAGGGTTAGGAAACGAATGTTGTGGACTGCACCCCAGCTCAGCGGCTTGGACTTTCATCTCTTCGTGAGGTAAATGGAAAAAGAAAAGTGCAATAGCAGTAAATTCCTGGTTGAGAGACTGCATGGACGTGGCAATAGCTGTCTCAGGGACCGTGTGGGCGACACACAGCTCGGGGTCGGGCTTGGCGCAAGCTCCTTCTACCACTTACTTGCTGACCTTGGGAAAATCATTCACTCTCTCCAAGTCCCAGGTGCGCCCTCCACCACTCAAGCAGGCCTAATAATAGGACATGCCGCGTGCAGTTGTGAGAATTACATCCAGTAATTCCTCGGGCAAGAGCACAGTTTCTGGACGGTGATGACGCCTACTCAATATTAGTTGCTATTCATCTACTCTTGTTATTATTATTTATTACTCTTACTATTATTTAAAAGCCACAAGGGGGAAAGGCAAACAATGAAAGAACAAATGATGAGAACTAGAAAATCTCTGGACCAAAACAGTAGCTGCTTTTTGATTTTCCAAACATGTTTGCTTCATTCACCAAGAATTTGCTGTGCCAGACAACGCGTTACAGTCAACAGATAGGAGTGAAAAAGACAAATGTGGTCCTGCCCACTCACGCGCTGGCTCCTCAAAAACAGTCTTGTAAAGCAGGTAACCCCGCTTGGCAGGGAAGGGGCCTGGGGACTGACGCTGGAATTGGAAGGCAGACACTAGAATCTGGGATTCACTGAACAAATGTTGACTGAGAGGCTTGAAGGTGCGTGCTGCTCCCCAAGGCAACAGGCAGACGGAAAGGAATCTCAGGGATAAAAATGCTTACTCGCCTGTGGTTTACTTTTTAGTTCTGAGATTTAGAAAATATCAAATATGTAAAATGCACAGTACGTCATACGGTGACAAGCAGTACACAGAGTAATAAGTCAGAACGTGGAGATGGGAGGGAGCTGCAATTTGGGGTAAAGTTGTTGGGGAAAGTCTCCTACAGCTGGTGATGTGTGACAAAGGACAGAAGGGACAGGGACTTGGAGGGGGACACAGCTGACAAGCTAAGTCCTCAAAGAAGTCTTTGGCCTGCTCAGGGCTTTCCTAACAGCCTCTTTTACCTCCTTATTCCTCAGGCTGTAGATAAGGGGGTTCAGCATCGGGGTCACCACGGTGTAGAGCACCGACACCACACGATCTTCCTCTGAGGACTGGCCCGAGTTGTCTCTCAGGTACATGAAGACGAGTGTACCAAAGAAGAGGGCCACCGCCGTGAGGTGGGAGGCGCAGGTGGAGAAGGTCTTGGCCCGGCCCCCCGCAGAGCGGATCTGCAGGATGGCCACGATGATGAACAGGTAGGACACCAAGATCACCACGATGCACAAGGGCATGACAAAGAGGGCAAACACAATAATCACCACCTCCTGCGTGTAGCTGTCCCCACACGTGAGTTTCAACAGCGGGGGGAGGTCGCAGAAAATGAAGTTGATCTCACTGTTTCCGCAGAAGGAGAGTGTGAAGGCGGTGACCGTCCGGACAAAGGCACTGGAGAAGCCAGCCACGTACGCCCCGGCCACTAAGCCCGAGCGCGCCTTCTCCGTCATGATGGTGACATAGAGCAGGGGCTGGCAGACGGCCACGTAGCGGTCGTAGGCCATGATGGCCAGCAGGTAGCAGTCGATGGAAGCAAAGAAGGTGAAGAGGAAGAACTGTGCTGAGCAGCGAGCTAGCGAGATGACCGAGCCGTGTTCCCACAGCACGGCCAGCAGCTGGGGGACGATGACGGAGGAGTAGCAGATGTCCACGAAGGCCAGGTGGCTAAGGAAGAAGTACATCGGGGTGTGGAGCCGGCGATCTTTGCGGATCAGGACGATCATCACTGCGTTCCCCAGCAGGGTGAAGAGGTAGAAACTCAAAAACACCAGGAATAGGGGGAGCCCCCACTCCGGATGTTCAGTGAAAGCAATCAGGAAGAACTCTGTCACTGTGGTATAATTCTTCCCTGCCATCCATTGGGTTGATGGTTTACCTGTGAGGGCTGAAACCAGAGCGTCAGGTGGGGGCGGCCCTGAAGACCAGTTCAGGTCATTTAGAGTCATAAAGCTTTTAAACTGAGCATCTGATATGTGGGCACTGACTTCGACAAGCTTTGCTGTCTAATGTGTAAAAAGGCAACTGTGGTGTTCCCTGTAATATGAGCTAAAAAGTGATGAATGCTTTGATTAGGCTAAGAAGGGGGAGCAAGTGATTCTCTGACTTAAAAGTCAGCTCCCGTATTTGCAACTCTGTCCCCAATTAGCTGTTTGATCTTACACAAGGCACTTAACCTCTCTGGACCTCAATTTCCTCTTCTGCCAAAAGGGGATCATAATATCTGCCCTGCTGATGAGATAAGGTTAATGCATAGATTAAAACAGCTGCAAGAGTGCATTGGAAAGCTAAACACACCCCACATATGTATATGGTTGATATTTCAAAGTATACATAAAGGTTTTAAGAAAGGAAAATTTATATTCTGTGAACAAAAGAGCGTGAACAGGAAAAAAAAAGCCATTAGCAGTCAGCAATGGACTTTGCTTGTAGAAATATTTCTATTTCAGTCCAACAACAGACATGTTTAACAAGCAGCTGTTATCCTAATTACAGCTGCCTGCTTATTAAGGTTTCGTTGTTTGGCTTTTGTTTTTGGTAAGTACTAGCATTAACCTTGGAATCATAAGAACAAACATAAGCTCCTTTTAGCACCTAACAAAGCTCCAAAAACATGCTTTGGTTGTCTCACAGTCCCCCATTAAAGCAGTGGTTTGAAAATAAACAGCATCCGAGAGCAGAAATATTTCTGCAATCTGGTATTGTCTAAGAACTGATGGGGGAATCTGGGTTAATGGATTTGGGTCCTTAATAGAGTTCTAGAACAGGCTACAGAGGAGGGCTTTGATGATGTTTCATTACTGGATGCACCAACAGTCAGGCTAATACTAAGCTAAGCCATTAGGGAAAATAACAAAGAACAGAAATTAGATCTGGAAGCCATGAGCTGGACATGAACCATCCTCACCTGAATTCCACTTTGCTAGTGCCTTCCTTCGTTGTAGTGCTTCCTCTGCCAGTCCCCAAGAGACCTGGGTTCTAGTTTGCCCACACTAGATGTGCGACCCAGAAGAGTCACTTTTCCTCTCTGGACTTCAATTACAATATCTTTGTTCCCTTTTAATAAACAACAACACAGTGTGAGTCAGTAATCACAGTACCTGGTTGAGATGATGTGGCTTCCAAAACCTCTAGGTCTTGTTCTCACTATATAGAGTCTGTAACTTTCCTCTCCTCTTGACAGAACAATACCCTGACACTAGAGCTTCCCAGGATATTTTGCAGAACAGAACAGCAAGGGTAGGGGACCAGCCTCTCTCTCTGAACTTTGGATTGAGCTGATGGTGCCTCTTGTATCCACCAGCCCAGCATCACACTAATTGGCTCCTGAGGTGTGTCTCCAGGGAAAGGTAATTTATCTTCATGTAACTTCCAAACAAGTCATTTAGCATCTTTGAAAATTTATCATTAATTATGAATTCCCAAAACCCCGGCCCACGCCCTACCATCTCTCAGCAGGATCTGGCCCCTAAACTCATGCTATTCCTGCCTTGTACCAAAAGGAATGCATTTTGAAGGCTTCTTCTATCTCAGTAGAGATTTTATCAAGGGTTTTGCACAATATTGCCCTACACTGACAGGTACAGTGGGAATTTCCCTGATTTCCCTTGCCTTCACATGGTAGGAGTCTATCCTTTGGGGAATAAAGAGACCTTTTGGGATCTGATTCCAAAAGAAGGGTGTTTTGCAAGCACCAGCTTTTGCTCCCCATCAGCAAAGCAAGTTGTAACTGGTGGCTGGGAATGGTCACCATTTGGTAGAAACAGAATGATGATGATGGGGCACCCCGAGATGAAAGGTGGGAGAAGCAAGTGTGAGCATGTCAAGGTGGGAGAAGCAAGTGTGAGCAGGTCATGAGCAGATGTCACCAGGAAAGCCGAGAAATTCTGCCTGGTGACCAACCTCTCCTCCTGAGGACTGGTTCTCAAACTTCATTTTACATTAGAGTGAATTTATTTACAGAGCCACCTCCATCAGTTCCGATGCACTGCATTTGCCAGAGGGCACCCTCAGTGGGTTTGAGACACCTAATCTCCAAGGATCAGTTGTAGAACTGGGGCTTTGGGAGATGTTCTCAGGAGCACTGGCCTGCTTGACCCTCTGTGACTGTGCCATAAGTGAAAGTCAAATAATAAAGGTGTGTTCTTGGGGAGCATTATTTTTCCAAAGTCCCACCAGCATCGTCCTTTCTCACGGGAAATGGAAGGCAGAGCTCCCATAGTGGGCCTCTGCACAGCTGCACGGGTCGCAAAACAATGACTGGAACCAGGTCATGCTCTGTTGACTGTCTACTCAGAAAACAATAAAGAGCAAGGGTTCTCAGCTTTTGAATCACCTGGGACCTTTTATACTCCCACGGCCCAGATTGCACCCCTAAACAACTAAATCAGTCATCAGTATTTCCTTAAGTCCACAGGTATTTACAATATGCAGTGAGGTTTGGGGGCCACCCCCAACAGGTAGATAGTCCAGAAGGAAAATACTGTTCAGGTAAGAGGTAAGTTTGTACATCACTGCATACTAGATCTTCCATGTGGAAAGTCATTTTGCCTATCAGCATGTTGTGTGGGCTATATGGTCTTGAATTTATTGACATTTCTTACACTATGATATTTTCTCTATTTTGTGTATTTTTTTAATTCTGTAATAAAGGTAAAGATAAAAAAAGAATAAACCTTTTCAACTTGCTTTAACCCAACATTTCACAAAATATTTGGCCATAGGACTTCTTCATTGAAGATGACTAGCATCCTGCAGACCAGAGATCCTGGGGAAGGAGGAAGGCAGTGTGGCTCTAAAACAGTTCAGCAGTGCCAAACGGCAGGATAGTAGTTATTCCAAGAAGGGCATCTCCCGAGGACTCAGGTCAGGAGTCCATTTAGGTCTCCATCAGTCTGGCTCCCCTCAGTAGTCAATACTGCTGGGAAAGGACTAGGACGGGACCTGGGGGAAAGCAACACCTTTCCAGATGGATCTCTAGAGCTGCAGATAAGAAAACCGTGTGTGTGTGTGTGTGTGTGTGTGTGCGCGCGCGCGCGCGCGCGCGCGCAAGTGCGTGTTTGTAGGAACAAATATGTGTGTGTGTTTGTAGGAACATAGGATTCCTGAATTCATTTGGATTCAGTAAACAAAGTCATTAAATTATTTTTATTAACCCTCTTGCTCTTTAAGAGAAACTTCCCCTTCAGATGTAAAGTGGTTTCAAGGACAATCCCCTCCCCCACCCCAGGTTCTTCCTGATAACCAAGAGACCCCACCCCACCCCCCACAGGTGCAACAAGCTACCGAGACCAGATCATCAGATACCTACCTTCAAGAAACTATCATCAAATTAAAAATTATTAATATGCCTGCTGGCCATTTGCATTTCCTCTTTGGAGAAATGTCTTTTAAGTTCTTCTGCCCATGTCTTGACTGGATTGTTTATTTTGTTTTTGTTGAGTTGTGTGATTTCTTTATATATCTTTGTGATCAGTCCCTTATCAGTTGACTGGGGTGCAAAGCAACATGGATGGAACTTGAAGGAATTATGCTCAGTGAAATAAGCCAGAAGGAACAAGACAAATATCGGATGGTTTCACTTATAGCAGGAATATAGGGGAACCAAATAAGACATCAGCGTAAAAAAATAATAATAACAGTACAAAACACAACAAAGCAAAAATGGACAATTATAAATCAGAAGCATCCTGCAGGGGAGGAGGAGGGAGAGGGATCAGAGGGAGGGAGGGAGGAGCACAGGGGACTGAGGTGATGGTGCACGGGTGTGTTGGTGAAGGAAACTCTATGGGGACTACACCTGAGGGGTTGGGGGGAAGCAAATATTGTTTAAAAATGAACAATGATGTAAAAAAATAAATAATTAATATAAAAAATAAATTTAAAAAGAAAGAAAAGAATAGAAATTATTAAGATGATTCCATCACCAAGAGGTAAGCTCCAGAAAGGAAACAGAATGAACTTCAGAGTCAAGGTCAACATTTCATATATTGGGAGTATTGGGACCTATAAAAACTACAGCAAAAGAAATTTAAAGATTTGTTAGTACCCACAAATCTGATAACTTTGGTTTCCTGATTTAGAGGTTCAGTGCATGGTGATAGCTAAGTCAAAATGTGAAAGGGAAACTCAATAGAATAATAGCAAAGACACTTATGCTACTTATTTTTTTTTAATATTTATTTATTTATTGTATACAAGAACCAGGGTACAGACCAGATGCGCAGGAGGGTGAGAGGATTCACCAGAGACAGAGCAGGGAACAGAACAGGCAGACTAACTGAAATACCCTGCTGAGGGGAGCAGCAGGTGCAACAGGAGAGGTCTGCTGTGCCATGTGGGACCCTCACCAGCAGGCCGGGATCAAACTGGTGCTGCAGAGGTTGTGGACAGCTTCACAGCGTGGCGCTCAACTGCCTGCACCAGTAGGGGAGGCCCTATGCTACTTATTATTACTCTTCTAAGATGATAGATGACATAGATGAAATATGGATAGATGGGTGGATGGATCTATGGATGGATTGATAGATAGATAGATAGATAGATAGATAGATAGATAGATAGATAGATAGATAGATAGATAGACAGAAGTATTAGCTCATTTAATCCACCCAACACTCTTATGAGAGAGATACTATTATTTCTATTTTAAGGAGATTAGAAAATTAAAGCACAGAGTTCAATTAGGTAACTGACAATCCCAAAGTAAAGGGCACAGCTTTGGTTTGAACCCAAGAATTCCACCCCAGAATGCACACTCAACTCTTCTACTATATTGCAAACCCTCATGAGGACGTGCTGGACTCCATGTTTGAGTTCTTCCTTCTACATCTGTATTTTCTTTCTAACCTTTTAGAAA